TAACATGCTTCCTCTTAAATTCAGCCAAAATGCTTTAAAGACAATTAAAACTTATAATATTACAACTTTAGCTATGTATACTAAGCCTTCATGAAAAGCAAGCCCAAATAAATTTAGGATTTTATTGTTTGAAATTTCTGAAAAGGAGTGATTTAAAGAATCTATCAGGACATTCTAGTTTTAAGATCTAAATCATTTCTAAGAATAGATTGAATAGACTGTGACTGGAACAGTCTCTGGGCAGTTTGGTGTGGCACTCAGTTATAGACACCCTAAAAGATATCTGCAGGAGATAGAGAAGTTCAGCTTTCTCCACAGCTGAACAATGCAGTGCAACAAATTTAAGTCGCTGTGCACCAGCAACTGCTGCGTACATTCCATATGCAGCAATGATCACCACACAACCCAAGAAAATAGATGAATCTTTTCTGAGTAATGCAAACAGTGAATAAATGGGTGAGAAGATGTAGCTCTTGCTGTAGCATACATGTGTACTCAGAAGCTGTACTTCATTCTTCCTTCAGACCTACTCTATGCCCTTTTCCATGGTAACAGAGGACAAATATTGTTTTAAACCAGTGTGGTTTACCATCTTTATGGACTTTTGCTTGCAACAATCTTACAATTCCACATTATTATAAAATTTCAGTACCTCATAGACACTGTTTTGTAAAAATTTTAAGTTAGCTAACATCTTTGGAGCCTTGCTGCTAGCCGTGTTTCTCACTACCTCTAATGACAGATCTTCTTATAGCCAGCTGCCATAAGATTAATCACTGATGATTATTTCTTAATGCTCATAAGTAATTGCATCACCAGATGAAATTAGTTCTGTAATGCTATCATATCAATTAGCTCTATGATTACAAGCAGTTTTGTATGTCCGAGAGCTAGGAGAGCTAGAATGCTTTGTGTACTTCCAGAGATGTGTCAGGTTTTCAACTCTGCACTAACACATAACTGGGACTGGGGGGGGGGGGGGGGAAGCTCCTTATGATCAATCTAGTTTTAACTTTAAAACTATATTTGACTGTGTGTATCAGGTCTCAGTTACTGCTTCAGGGGCTGCTGAAGCAGTAACTGAGACCTGCTTGTACAACTCAACAAGCAAAATCGCCGGACAGGGCATGAGTACAGAGACACAGGACCGGGCAGGCCATGAGTACACAGCCCGGGACCGGGCAGGACAGGTGAACAGAGCCCCGGGACCGGGCATGGCAGGAGTACAGAGCCCCGGGACCGGCCAGAACCGCAGTACAGAGCCCCGGGACATGGCAGGAGTACAGAGCCCCGGGACCGGGCAGAGCAGGAATACAGAGCTCCGGGACCGGGCAGGGCAGGAGTACAGAGCTCCAGGACCAGGCATGGCAGGAGCACAGAGCCCCGGGACCGGGCAGAACAGGTGTACAGACCGCGGGACCGGGCAGAACACACTAGTACAGACCCCGGGACCGGGCAGGACACAGTAGTACAGAGCCCGGGACCGGGCAGGCCGTACCTAGGAGGCTGTCGGAGGACAGGGCCCAGGCGCAGAGCTCCGCTGCCCGCCGCCGCGGGCACTGACCCGGCTGAGGGCGGGAGGCGTTCGGGGCCGGGCAGAGCCCGCGGGAGCCGCACAGCGCGGCCACACAGCTCCAGGCCAGGCAGGCGGGCAGCCAGGGCCGCCAGCACATGTCCGCAGACCTCGCCTTCCAGAGCCGCCCACGAACCCGGCCTGAGCTCTCCCGCCCCCAAAGAGGGCGTTGGGGTGCCCGCCCGGCACCGGGCCGGAGGGCGGTGGCGGCGCGGGGCTTCCGCGTCCGGGTCGCGGCGGTGCCGGGAGGCGGTGCTGGCGCGGCGGGGCTGGGGGACACCATGGCCTTGCGGTGGTGGTGGCGGAGCGGCTCCTGGTGCCGCCGGGCGCCGCCGCTGGGCTCCGTGCCGAGCCCCGGCCCCCGCGTCCCGCCGGCCCCCAGCGCGGCGGTGAGTGCGGCGGCGCCGGGCGGGCGCGGAATGAATGGGGCGGGGGGCGCCGGGGCGGGCGGGCACCCGCGGCTGCCGCTCCTTCGGCGTCCCGCAGCCTCCGCCCGGGAAGCGCCACGGCCCGGGGGTGGTTCTCTGCCGGGGGGTCCTTGCTGGGGGCAGGAGCGCGCTCGGTGCAAGGTTAAATTCCGGATTAGGGGTTTTCAGCGCTGGTCAGTCTGTGAGCCTCTCGGAGCCGGCCCTAGGTGGGAGCAGGGAAAGCGGTTCTCATTATGTGAGATTTTGAAGGCGTTTGTGTGTGTTAGCGTTGTGAGCGGTAACGGGGCCGGTTCGCTCACTGCCTTGGTTTGGAGCTTCTTCACAAGGCCAGGCTGCTGCTCGGAGCCTCGCTGAGGTGCTCTGGCTGTCCTGACCCAGGGACAGTGCTCTGGCGAGCGCGTCCAGCATCCCGCAGCAGCCGCTGTTCCAGGCTCAAGCGGCAGTGGGAGGGACGGAGGGAGTCTGTGTGTGCCCGCGCTGAAGGATCAGCTATTTTTAGCGACAGAACGCGGTGAGAGGTTCTAGAGAGCGACTTGGGAATGTCTCAGCCCTAGGGCCGGACGCTGAAGTCAGACAGCAGTGGGTTGCAGATCTGTGATAAGCTTGGGCTCCTTGCCTTGTCTCCTTGCATGGCCTTGTGTAAGCACGGAGGATGGAGGAGTGCCCTTGAGCCATTGTAATGGCTTTTATTTGTCTCCCACTGTCCAAGGAGAGAGAGGCTTTGCTTTAATCCACGTCTGAGGAGACGCTGAGGCACGGGGAGCAGGAGCAGGTCTCCTTGCGCATTTCTGTGTGAGTTTTTCCAGAGGCAGTTGGGCGAACACGTGGATTGCAGTGATTTTAGGCTGGCTCAGCCCAGCATTGGGCAGGGCTCGGTACTTCCTGGCAGCATTCCCAGGAGCGGAGTAAAAGCTGTAAAAGCTGTACTTCCTTCCTCAGCCTATTTCTGCTGGAATCTTGTACCTAGGGCTGTGTCTTCCTTCCCCCATGCTCCTGGGCTCTGCCTGCAGGGAGGGATCCTTGGAGAGATTGCTAGATTCGCAAGTCAGGTTCTGGACATTTAGCAGGGAAGATGGGCAGGTGTAAATTATGAACATCAGGCGGAATTGAAATTGCTTCAGAGAAAACAAGGATGTGGTTTTCTGTTAGTGTACTGAAACAGCTCGTGCTTTTCTCTATGCTTTGATTGGTGCCAGGCAGGAAATATTTGAAAATCGCACCTTGCTCAAGTGCAAAAGCAAGGTTTTATTGGAGCAGCTTTGGTAATTTGAGATAAGCCTCCTGGGCTGGGCCTGCGAGGGGAGAAAGTCCAAGGCTGTGGAGCAGAAGAGTCGGGTCAGTGTGCCGGGTGAAGGGTGCACTCGTGTCTCACGTGGTGTGGAAGGGGTTGTGAGACTCCCTTTGCTGCTGGGTTGTTAAAATGGAGAAATAGAGCAATGGTGATGAGTACATTTTTTTTTTTGTAGTCAAATGTTTTCTGGCAGTTTAAAGTTCTGATAAACTGTCCTTGGTTTTATTTTATGCAGATGTGTCACATTACCCAAAGAAGTTCAACTTTCTCATTTCCAAAAATATGTAGTATATTTTGGCGGTAAGTTGAAGATTCACATTGTTGTGCAGTGGGCGAGGACAGAGTTATTGGGTGAACTGGGCAGTTACACCTCTGAGCTGTGAACTTTGAAAATAAGGTTATTTACTCCAGTATAGACTGCTGCTGTAGTGCTGAGTCTGAGTCTCAGTCGTCTATCCTGGAGTGTAACGGGCAAAGCAAGAATGTTGCAAGAAAATACATAGGGTTCACTTTGGGAAAGGAAACATTAGAAGAAGAAGAAACTTCAAATCCAGGAAACAAACAAACAAATCTCCTAAGCTAAAGGCATCTTAATGCATCCAGGTGGAGCTTTCACCCTTTTCTGATGAGCTTTCCAAGCACCATCACGCTACCTGGAAGTATTGATTTAATTTATTACGTAGCTGGGTATACAAAGGGAAAAATATCAAATCTAAGTCAGGAATATTTTTTCGGTTTACCTGAAAAGGAAGAAAGTAACAGAACAGTTGGGTTTCCAGAAGTGAGGGTTCTATCTCCAAATGTAGGCTGCACTATCCATAGTGTATTCAAAAGGAATGGATGGAGAGCAAGGTCATGTTCTGTGTCTCAGAATATCTGGGGTCTCTTAAGGGCAGAGTGTGTGTGTGTTTGCCAAATGCACTTTGCCAGGTCCCAAAGCTTTATGATCTTCAATACACAGCTCTTCTGTCCTTGCATCTTACTGTCTGAAAAAGAGTGTTTTGATGTCTTCATATATTTTAGCCATTTGGTTAAATGGGGTGTGATGGGAGAGGGAGAGAAAGAAACCCTTTCAGATGTTTCTGTATGGGGAATCAGGGGAGCATAACTTCTAACAAGCCTACTCTTGAAAAACACTGTCCCCAGGTTTCATCATACCAGTACATCCCACTGGTGCAGCTGCAGTAAGACAATTAGTGATGAAAAATACCAAGACCCTTTTCAACTTGGTAGAAAAGACTTGAAGAATCTCTATGAAGATATTAAAAAGGTATGGGATTTTGGTGACTATGGTGGCATGTCATGATGATTGTTTTTAATAGCAGCCATCAGTTTGAATATTTATTGAAGTAATGTTATTTATGTTTATGAACTGATGTCTGAAACTTAAACTGAAGGGAAATGGTGCATTTCTAATATTTTGTAGAACCAGAATGCAGTTTTTCTTCTGATTTGCAGCACTGGAATGCATCATTTACATTTCAGATTACTCATAGTAATTTTAAAAATAACTTGAGCTTACACTGGGTGGAATGAATGTAAGCAATAACCTTATACATGCATACTGTTGTATTTACACTAAGCAGACTGACTTTGTGACTTCTATGCTGAAATGCTCTTGTCCTTTTTATAGGAATTGCTGGTGTCTGCAGCAGAACTTAAGGAAATGTGTGATTATTACTTTGATGGGAAGGGAAAGGCCTTTCGACCAATGATTGTGGTGCTAATGGCTCGGGCTTGCAACATTCACCATAATAATTCCAAGTGAGTTGGTCACTTTCAGATATGCACATCATGCTTGAAAGTTATCATTCTTGTGTCTCTGAAAAATACTTTATGAAAATAAAATGCTCGTCAGGAAAACCTGAATGTAAGTTCCATCTTGAAGCTGTATTTTTGTAGTTGTCAGTGCAAAAGGAACTGCTGAGTTTATTACATATTTCCATGTGTTAAATTGTGGACTATACTGTGCTTGTAAGCAGGGTGGATAAATAATGTTGCTGAATTACTATATTTGTAAGGCTTTTAGTCAGTTCTACCTCCTTGCATAAATGCTTTATTAGAACCTTTAATACTCTTTGAAACTATGTAAACTTCATTAAGTATTTTCATTTGTAACCACTCCTGTTCCTATTAAACTCTGGTCACAGGTAAGAAGTTTGCTGTGATAAGTTTGCTGTGAGATTTTTTTAGTAATTGTGCAGAAAAGCTATTAAAGAAGTGGTATGATTATATTCAAAACTGTGAGATTTTGAAAACAGTAAGAGGTTTTTTTCCCCTCTAGTAGCAAGTTTCTGCATTTTATGTAAGATTCTAAGCTAATTAGTCTGGTGTAATCCTTATGATCTCCAAGTTACTTGAAAGCAATTTTAAGTGAGCAGAAGATCATGCTTGGCCTGTATTCTCTGTCACTCCTGAGTCTGGCTCGTTGCAGATGCTTCACTCCACACCTTCCTGTCAGCTGCTATGTTTGCATTTTGAGGAAAGATGTTGGCTGGAGTGTTCTCCAGTTGCCTTCCAGCCATGCTTCCAGTCTTGCCTTGTATAGAATTCCAAGTAGATAATCTTTGGTCCCTTTCCAGAAGTGTTTCTAGACTAATTTGTCAATCTTAAGGGATTTCTCTGGGCTCTTGCACCGTTTTCTCTCTGTAGGACTAGTTTAATGCCTTGTTGGACTTGATTACTTCTCAGAGCATGGCATGTATTTTGTTGCATGGATAGCACCTCCCCCTGTAGTCCCTTCTATGTGAATATAATTATGAAGGAGAAAGCAAAACTGAGCTGGCAGTGTCCTTTCCTCTGTGTGCCAGTTCCTCTTGTTTTAGGAAAAGTCATCCAGGATCAATGAACTTTGCCTCAGCCAGATTCTGTTGTCAGTTCAGGACTGCTTCTTGTCATTGACTCTGAGATAGCAAAAGGAACAATATTGGTTGTGCAAATCCTCAGGGATACCTTTTGCCACAGACTGGCTTAATATATTCATGAGTGACCTTGACATGAAGAACAGGAGTGTGAGGAGGGCACTTTTTGATGGCAGAGCCATTCTTGATGATCATCCATCTGTGGTGAAATGTAAGGAAGTACAGCAAACCAAAACTTTCTGCTTGAGCTGAGAGAGAATGTTTCTGTTTCTGAGAGAATGGAAATTTAGGAGGAGATTTAACAACAGGGACAGTGAGTTTTTGGAGCATCTTTGGAATCAAAATAATGGTAAAAATAGTTTTATCTCATTATAGTGTGTAGCATGAAAAGCTTATGAACAAAATCATGTGTGCAGTACTGAGAAGGCTGGAACTGATGTCATACAGTGTGGGAGCAGAGCAGTGAATCAAAGAGAGGTAGCAGTAGAAAGACTGAATTTGCCTGTATGCTCCAAGTGTATTTGCTGTCTTTTGACATGTGTATATGGTCATGGACATATTCTTGTCCACATGTTATGCTGTCTCAAAACTATCAGGGCCTGTTTTGAGACCTGCCCTACGCCAGTTAAGAAGGTGCCACACATTCCTGGGGCAAGTGTTTGCTTTGCAGTAGCCAGCCCTCAGCATAAGTCCTCTGATTTCTGGATGCCTGTGTCATTTGGCAGTGTTTGTACATCTGTTGTGGTTCTGATCAGCATCTCCAAAATATGTTCAGTGTTTCAAAGGCCTCCTCAGTAATCTGAACGTTCCTAGTACAAACCAGGCTGAGTCACCATCTTTGTCATGTTGCTTTTAGAATGAATTTCTGAGTGGCAAGAGCAAAAGTGTTTCAGCAAAGGAATGGAATGAAATCTTGGGGTGTTTACCTTCCTGTTCTGTGCCCTGTGCCAATTTTTCCAAGCCTGTGATTGTAATTAAATATCCCTAATGTTGATACAAGTCTTCACTGTACTGCTTGTTGGTTATTGCATGGTGGCCAATGCTTTTGAGGGTTGGCAAGGCCATGCAAAAGGAATTTACATTTGTACTGTGGATACCCAGTTCCTGTGAGCTGATAAAGTTTTATGGGCATTTTCTTCTCTTTTGTTTTCAAGCTGATTGAAGCAGGCTGTCTTACACCTGCTCTGGGTGTATATATATATATATATGTATATATATATATATATATATATATATATATATATATATACACACTTCAGTTCACATTGATACTATGATTGATTCATTAGTGTTCTTTCTTAAAGCAACATTGTCTCCAGGTGGCAAGTTGTTCTTACAACTTTTTTTATGTTTGTGAGGAAAATTGTGTATGTAGAGAAGTAATACTGCATATTTTTAACTCTGCTACTCTTCTACAAACCTGGGGGGGAAAATACTTGCCTTACATTTTGCTTCTCCCAGTGTTTTTTAAAGACGCTTTTCACTTTCAATTTGTCATTTTCCTTGAAGCATTTTATCATTCTTTTCCTCAGTTAATACTGATTCTTCTCCCAGGCTTGTTTTTCTTTGTTGAGGCTTTGGTTCCCACATGTGAAGAGATTGACCACAGTATCTGTAGGTTTGTAGGGTGAGCCAATAGCCTGTACTGTTCATCCCCAGCATTTTTTTTTTTCACTTTTGCCTCTGGGGTTTGTATTGCAGATGTTCAGTTTCTCCTTCATCTTGTTGCCATTCTCTACTGTAATATAACTTGCTGGACCCAGCATGCTTTTGCCTGCTTTTTCATTTTCTTTTCTTCCTTTTCTGCAATTTTTGTATAAAAGGTAATACTTTTCCTTATTTGGCTGTTAAAATAACAGTTTGGGAAGGCTACAGGTCCTGATCTTACAAGGCATCCCAGGAGACCTCTTTCTCTTCTCCTCCAGAATAGCTGAGGTTTCTCAGGAGAATGGAAGGGCCAGGTGGCTCTGCTTGCAGGTTAGGTGACATTGATCATTTATGTTTAGGTTTGAATGAGGTGAGGTATTTACTATACCCTCAGCAGGTTAACTGTTTTTCTAGAGTGGGGTCACTTTATTGTGGTCATAATAAGGAAAATGACAGTTGTATAAAGAATTATCTGAATTACTGCCAAAAAGGTAAGTGTCTGAAGTGTGTTGTTTCTTTGCTCTTGAAGTTTTAAGTGTCCTAAGTCCTACCCTGAATCTTTAAGTCCCTTAGGCAGTGGCTTTTTGCTTATTGGTAGCAACTTTGTGTGAGAGTAAGAATTGTTTTAAATAGTTTAAGTTGGGGTCATGCAAACCCTCCATTTCACACATCCACTGCCTGGATTTCTTCACATGCCTGTGAAGAACTTCACAGAATTATCACTTAGCCTGACAGGACCTAGTGTTTCTGTATTCTCCAAAGTGTTCACAGATGAGAGTTTTTATTTCTATTGCTACAACCAAAAAGAGAGAGGCAAATAAGAGAGGGCCAAAGAAATACAACAATAATAGGTAAAACAGTGAGCACAAAAGTTTGGGGGGGTGGGTGGGGAAGGGAAATAAATTTATCAGAATAGTGTGAGAAACAAATAAAATGGCAATAAAATAAAATTGAATGTTTCCTAAAGATAGAACCTGCCAACAACCTTAGTTCCCTTTTGTTTCACTCCTCCAAACTGCTGTTGTCAAAAGCCCATAGTGCCAGCTGCTCTGCAGTTTTCTCTGGTGTTAGCACATGCAGCCTCTGTGCTTCCCCTGGTTTGCAGTGCCCTTCTGTGTCACAGACTCTGTTTCTGTGATGATTGCTTCTTTCAGCCCCAGGGCCTCAGCAGGAGATTGATGCTTGAAGGACTGTGGCCATAGCACAACAATGTTGCAAGTTCTTATGCTCACTTCCTGTCCTTAAACTGGCAATATTTACTTACTGGCAAACACACTGCCTCCAAGCTTTTTGTTGGAGAGTGTAAATACTGGTTTGTGTGGTTTTGAGTTTGGCCCTCACCGTTGTTGGGTGGTTTTGGTTGGTTGTTTTGGTTTTGGACAGGGATATTTGGAGGGAGGCATTTGGGGTTTCTTAACCTGTGTGGTCAGCCTTGGCTTGTTCAGTGTTCATGAAACAGATTCTGTAATGGAAAACACCTCAGGGTACAGCACATCTATAAAACCTTATCACTGAATCAAGCAGGGGGTCCTACTGAGGAACAGAACATGATTAGTCATTTAAAATATTTGTAAATATACATCAGCTCAGGGTGTCTTTACTTTGAGAATGACCTAAAAATGGCATCTTTCCACTTACTGGATTTGCTGTTATCTATTCAGTTACTGCCACGTTTTGCTTTTGTTTTGCAGGAGAAGCTGAATGAAAAATGTCAGGGGATGAGAAAGATCCTGGGATTTGTGTGTTTTCCCCTAAAAGTAGGCATGCTCTGATCTAGAATTAGTCTCACAAGAGGCATGCAGAAAACAATTGCAGAACGTTTTTTGCCAGCAGTGGGAAGAATCTTGCTTGAGACTTTGTGGAAATAGTAGTTTTAAAACCCCTTCAGATGAAATTGTCACATTTGATACAACATTCTGGAAACCATGAATATTCCTATGCCATTTTTAGTCATTGTCAGAGATAAGATAGAGTATAATGCAGAACTTTTCAGAACCTGCTTTTGAAATAACTGGTTTTGTGCTGTCTTCATACTACTGAAATATTTCAGTGTGTCAGTGAGTGTTGCCATTTACTGCTGCTTCCCAGCAGGAAGTCCAGTCTGCTGACATAATTAATGAAAAAGGGAATCCCCAAAAGGAGAGCAGTGCATGAAAGAGGCTGGAGACCTTTACAGTTTTTTGAAGGTAAGTTTTCTCCTACTTAGTAAGAGTAATTCGTTTTGGAAAACTATTTACACTGAACTAGCATTTGATTAAATCACTAGTCCACATTAAGACTTGCCTCCAAACAACTATGAAGGTTTCCAGCTCTTATTTTCTGCTGTGTAAAAGCCATATTTTCACAGCCTATGAGCTACCCGTTCATCCTGCTATTGTTCAGGATGTAGAACTCCCACTGACAGCAGTGCAGAATTCTGTGTAGAGGTAGGTGTCAGAATGCAGTGTTATGTCAGCAGACTGCAATATGTTCTTTCATTTTGTGATTAATCACTACATTTTAAAGGACATAGGCAGTGCAGGAAAGTTTTAAATTCCCTTAACTGCGGTGAAATTATCTTCTGGCTCAGTTCTTTTTCTGTTCTCCTGTAAAATAGTATGATTTTCTCTGTTGTCTGTGTACCAGAAGTACATTATTTAAATATCAGAAGTAGTTTCTTTCTTGTGTTGTGGGTTTTGGTTTTTTTGTGTTATTGTTTTGTTTGTGGGGCATTTTAAATGTCCATGTGGCCTTGTTACACCTATGAGGCAGGGCTGACTGGGACAGCCATTTCTGGGATCCTGCATGTAACCCATGATGAAAACAGAAAAATACCAGAAGACAGTGGAAGCTGGATACTAAGGGAGATGGTCCTTTGTGTGAGCTAGGTTGGCTCTTTTATGTGCCTTTTGCCAGTTTTGTTCTCTAGATAGTTGCTTCTGTGTTCTTCCCTTACCTTCTTTTCACCTTGTTTAAAAAAAAGAAAAATGGTGTGAACTACTGAGAGTTGAATCATCAGTGTGAAATCTTCCCAAAAGCTGAGTTCCAGTAAGTGTTAGGTATTTGGTGTTTACAGTCCTAAAGTGCTTGCAGTGGAATTCTAGTTAATTCCTCAGGCTTCTGAAGAACCTCTGGGGTTTTAAGGTAATCAGATAACATAAAGGATAAGATCTATGAGTTATATCTTTCAAATGTAGAATGCAGGTTTCTGTTCCTTCTGATCTCTCCAGCTTGCTGCTTGGTAGAGTTATCCAGCTGTAGAGAGGTTGTGATGCCATGATTATAGGTAGAGCAACAGGGATAAGGAAAACTTAAACTCATCTACAGAGCTACCTGTCATTCTTTTCTCTGCTGTTTTCCAGATGTCAGACATGGAGCCAAGCGTCCTTGATGCTGTGCTGTTTATTGCAGTCTGGATTTAGAGGGATTACAGTCAATAACACAGGAGTTTTGCAGTACTGTTAATGCAGCAATGTAGAAATAGGCCTCATGAGGATGGACCCATCCCTCTGCACTTACTGTACTAATGTGATCTTACTTTCTCTTGTCTTCCTAATTCCAGGTTTGAAAGAAGGGGTGAGACCAGGAAAAAGCTGTGACAGCTGTTTTCAGAGAAACATTTTTGTTTGGTTTTTAACCGAGATTCTGTAGTGTATTGCAGCATACAGAATTGATTTAATTATTTGACAGTTCTTGTTTTTTGATTTTAGGGAGGTGCAAGCAAGCCAGCGCTCCGTGGCCATAATTGCTGAGATGATCCATACAGCCAGTCTAGTTCATGATGATGTCATTGATGATGCAAATTCTCGCAGAGGAAAAAGGACACTTAATCAAATCTGGGGAGAGAGGAAAGTGAGTTTGCTAATATGTGCAAGGCTTGCCTTTGAATTTCAGCAGAGCACAAATACCTAGAGGTTTGTAATGTTACTATGGCTAGGTCTTGGAATATGTCAGAAAACATATGAAGAGGTGTGCACAGCTTGTGGGTGAGACAAATGTGTTTTCCTTTTCTGAACTGTTGGAAGCATTATCTACTGAGTGGTTGAAGTGTTAGTGTTGGACCTGGCCAGCCTCCAGAGGAGATGACTGAGAGGGGCCCTTGTTGTACGTATCTGAAAGCAGTGTCACAAAGATGGATCCAGGCTCTTGTCAAGTAATAGGACAAGAGGCAGAGGACAAAAACTGATGCACAGGAAGTTTCACCTGAATGTGAGCAGATTGCCCAGAGAGGCTTTGGAGTCTCCCTCACTGGAGAGATTCAAGAATCATCTGAATGCAATCCTGTGCCATGTGTTCTGGGATGACCCTGCTTGAGCAGGGAGGTTGGACCAGATGACTCTGGCCCCTTCCAACCTGGCCCATTCTGAGATTATTGCTGATTATTACTGATTTTGGCATTCCCTGTGCTATTCTCTACAGTGCTGTTGAAATACTTTAAACTTGTACCTCATCCTGAATGCTGATTCAGTGGTGAATGCAGAAGTGTTTTCAGTCAGCAGGAATATTTTTTGAAATTGGCGTTTCTTCACAGAGCATTACGAGAAAGGTCTTCAACAGAAAATACAGGGGAGGAACTTGGGGTAATTCAGAGTTCACATGGTGTAACAGCCACAAGAGAATGGTGAAATAAAGAACTAATGTTAAAAAAAACTTCATAAGCAAACACATACTGCATACAGAGGGGACAGTGCTTATACAGAAAAATATAACCAGTACTATATGATAGGGACTCAAAAATTACTCAGATTTCAATATTTGGTTATGTATTTTTTCACTCTTAAAATGAGATATTTGTGCTTTATGTAGGAAAGTTTTGTAATGTGAGTAGGTCTGACAATTAAAGGAACTTGTATGGTCTGTAGTAACACAGGAGAAGACTTAAGGGATCACCTTTTTGTTGTTGTTGTTGTTAGGCTGTTCTAGCTGGCGACTTCATCCTCTCAGCTGCTTCTGTAGCTTTAGCACGAATTGGAAATACCACTATCATCTCTGTTCTGACTCAGGTGATTGAAGATCTGGTGCGTGGTAAGGTTTTTTCCTGTTTTTATCTTCCAATTTTTCTGCCTAAGCAGTAAACCCACAAATAAAACCTCCCTTCTGTGCAACTTTTTAGGTGAATTCCTCCAGCTGGGTTCCAAGGAAAACGAGAATGAGAGATTTGCTCACTACCTCGAGAAGACTTTTAAGAAGACGGCGAGTCTGATAGCAAACAGTTGTAAAGCAGTATGTACGTCTGTCTCTTCTGAAGTTAACATACCATACTGTAAGCTTCACAGCTAAACCAGCATTGCTCTTTGCTCTGGAGACCCTCCAAAGCAAAACCCTGAAATGGTATTTTGCCAGAATGTGAAAAGGTTTGAGATTGTGAATTTTATCACAGTTCAGCTGTGTAGCCTCCAATGTTGGTTTTCACTTTTTCTTTTGAGTTTTTTATTTATACACAGATTTATTGTTATTCTCAAGAATCAAAATGAGGTTCAAATAATCATAACAATGGTAATCTTCTTATGTAATTCTGGAACTTTGAGACAGTGATTTTAAACTAGGTTGATAATTTTTGAGTCTATAATTGGATTTTAAGACTTCTTTGGCATCTGGCCCTACTCATTGGTGCTGAGTGAGACCTTAAGTGTTAACAGTGGGAGGAAACAATTATAGAATCAGAGAATAAGCTGTGTTGGAAGGAGCCCATCAGGATCATCAAGTTCAACTCCTGTCCCTGCATGGGACACCCCAAGAGTCACACCATGTGCTGAGAGCATTGTCCAAACACTTCTTGAACTCTGTCAGGTTTGGTGCTGTGGCCACGTCCCTGGGGAGCCTTTTCCAGTGCCCAGCCACACTTTGGGTGAAAACATTTTCCTGATATCTCTGCATCACATTGTAAAAAACCAGAAGCATGTACTTAATTTATCTTCATTTGTCTGGAGGTTTTAATTACCAATTACTTTATCCAGCCCTGTCACTCGGTTCTCTTACTTGATTACAAAAAGATCCAATTCAAGATTATGTTCTTAAACAAAAGTAGATGTTCAGTTTTAGTGCAGAAAATAGAGGTAGGTAATAATCTCACCCCAAAAGAGAGTTTTGTTTATGCTTTTTAGTGAAAGGCAGTATAGCTAATGGATTCCATAGCAAGTGGGAATTCTTAAAGAATTAGACTAAAAATCTGTGCTAGTGTTAATCATCTTCCTTTGTTCTCAGGGAACTGGTGCATTTGTGCAACAGACAGCAGTTGGAAATGGCTTATATAAAAATGATCACGTAGAATGAGACACATGGATTTGAGGGTGGGAAAATACATTTTATTCTAGTTGGAGGAAAGAAATAAAGTCTTCTGGATTGCTCATATTAATGGCAATATGACCCTGACAATTTTCTTCTGCAAGTCTTGTTTTATATCAGTAGGCACCTGGACTAGTAAAGAGCTTTACATTATTCTGCTACCCCAGAAAAAACATACACAAGATTTAATATTCATTTTGACAGTCTGCCTAAAAGAATCTTTGCAGATGGAAGAAATCACATTCCCACTGGGTGGATTCTCCCTACAGATGTGCTAATTTAAGCTTTTTTCTTTTCATGACTTGCAAGAGTTAAAGATTTAAGCACTTCCCTTAAGATTGAGGCTGTGATGCTGGTCAGGGGGGTGTTTGGCTGCTTTTCTTCTAGTGGCTGGTCTGAGTTGTTCCATTGCTGAACTGCTGAAACTTTATATGCTGTAAAATCTGTGTTAGAAGGGAAAACAGAGAGAGAAGGTCTCTCTTCATGGCAAATCCTGATTGCTGCACATAGTACCAAGGAGTTGAATATGTGTGATTCCCTCAGTTTCTCTCTGCATGGATTAGGAGAGCTCTATTGATAGCAGTTAAAAGGGATTTTTGGGGAGGGAATTGGTTTTGGGGTTTTTTGGGTTTTTTTTTGTTTTTCTGCATGTAGGTGTTGAGATATTTTTGTTTAGGTGGCCTTGGCAACTGAAGAAATGGAATCAGAAGGGAGTTCTGTTTTCTCTAGCAAAAATGATAAGCAGGATCATCAGTTCTATCTTGAAAGGAAATTCAGTTAGGGAATCGAGAGTATTCATATCTTGTTTTCAGGGACAAAATTAAGAGGAGAGACTGTGAGTTTTAGAAGCAATTGTGTTCCTGTTAATGATAGGAAAAACCTGATTAGTTGCTGTGATTGAATAAATACAAGTATTTACTTGTATTTATTCAAACAGGTTCAGGTGGCACCTTTGAATTCCATGGTGCCATGCTTTAGAAATGGAAGAGGAGAGTATTCCTGCAAAAAGATCTAAACAAGACATACCCTGTAATTGATGCATTCTGTACCACCAAAGCTTTACTGCATTTAAATCAAAATTCTTTAAGTTAGGACTTAGGGAGAGAACAGTCTGTTCAAGATGTTGAGAGCCATCCCAGTTTCCAGTTTATTTCTACAACAGTTCTGCATGGGGGAATGTTACCAAAATTTCAATTAAAGTGTATTGTAAAATGAGGCAGTTCCAGATGGCCTAGAGTCATTGAAACCTTAATTACTGCAAGGCATTTTTCAGAGAAACATGAGATGACTTTAGTTCAAGAATTCAGAAACAATAAAGCTGGAGTGGAATTTCTGTTTAGTCATCAGGCCAGCTGGAGATAGCAAAATAACCTGAGCAGGTTTTCTGTCTTTTTTAAACCCTGCAGTAATGTGAATTCCTGAGCCTCATAAAGCTATTTATATTTTGCATGGTACACTTTCAGATGAGGGATTAAATCCTGCTTGCTTTGAGTGTAAGGGTGCACTAGAGATTGTTGATTTCCATATTAGGAGGAAGCTTGTGCCTCCTTGTGTAAGGCACTGAAGAAACCAATAGTGTGAAGCTCTGGATATTGTGTGAGCTCCTGCTCTAACCAGTTCCTAGTTTGGTGTGTGCACAGGGCTGCATCACAAAACCCTACCAGCATGTGCAACTGGTGCCCAGGAGAATAACACCTCTGATTGTGAAGTCAACTCTCCTTTGAGCAGGTGACTTTCAGAGTTCCCTTCCAACCTAGACTATTTTGTGATTCTCCTGGAAAGAGGAACACTGCTCCTGTCTAGAAAAACAGGGGTGGATGAGAAGGCAGGAACCTGACTGCTTCTGGAGATGGGCATGGAGGAGAATGGCTGGAAAAGGGGAACACTTTAGAGCCTTTTCCTTTCCCTGGAGGCCACAAATCTAGGACTACAAGAACAAACATCTCTTGTAGTGTTTATTCAAGCAAATTCTGGCCCAGCAGCAGGTTGTCCTCTCTGACCTACAGAGAACTGGTAGAGATGTGCAAATGCTTTCAACTCCAGCTGCCATATTGTCACATATTAAATATCAGAGCAGGATGGATCTACCCAGAGCTGATGATGTGAAATTCAGTAAAGAGGCAAAATTGGTTTATAGTCTCTCATATAACATAACAGAAACAACTTTTTTATTGCAAAAAGTATGTTTGAAATAACCCCAAGGAGATTGTCCTGCTTTGCTATGTTCAAAGAACTTTCCTAAAGAATTTGTTCCACTTGGTATTAGGAGGGATTTTTCATCGTGATTTAGTGGAGAACAGGCCTGAATTCTTGCAAGATTAAATTTGTCATGAGCCAGTCATACCTATTTGGGGAGCTCTAGGCTGTTTTCACAGGGGGAGTTTTATCATTTAAACACACATCACGGTATTGACTTGGTTATCCTGATTTGTATTTGCAAATGTGGGTATTATCCAGAGCATTGTCCCAGTACAGCTCCAGTTAAACTGTGGGAGTGCCAGACTGCCTGGCTGCAGCCCGGCCAGTGTCCAGCTGGGGGCAACAATCCACAAGAGCAGTTTGACAAGTTGCATCCTGAAGGAACTCCCTGATAGACACAACCCAACTGCAGGTTTATGTGGTCATGGTCAGAGGGTTGCTCACTTGAGGATGACTGGCAAAACAAATCTCCTGAAATTTAAATTTTTGGTTTGTTTTGGGGTTTTTTTTTTTGTCTATGGACAAGAATTGACCTTTCAGGTTGAATGAGGAAGCTCTTTTCTTTACACAGCTCTTCCTCCCACCCTCTGCCAGCTACTGCCCGCTCCAACCCTTTGCCATTAAGCAGGATTTTGTCACTGAATTCTGTATTTTAATCCTCCACAGGGAATGAAATGTGGAAGTAGGTAAGGATTTCATTGGAACAGGGTAGATGCAGTGCCCCTGCCGTGCTGACATTATGTGATTTATATTACAGAGGCAACAGAAAGTTAGGAGTAGATGTTAAGGAGGATAAAAAGGCAAAATGTTCTACTTTGATAGTCCCTAGCAACATCTATTTAAAAATCTCATATTTGCAGTTCACTCTGTTTAATAGCCTTCAGGATTTTCTGATTATTAGAGATAAGTAACATTATTTTCCTGCTATACTGTCCTCTTTTAAGTAAAAGGGGAGATTGTATGATGCTGTTAATTTTTCAGTCATCCAGATTCCTCTGGGGTTTAGTTATTCACAGATGCAGGTTATGACTGGGAAGTGTTCTGATGCTCAGATATGAAGTGCACTGCTGCATGAAATCATCTCTCATTTTGTGCAAGTTGCATCACATTTATTAGGATGTAATATTGTTTCTTATTTCCATCTTCATGTTCACCTTCAAAGCTACTGCTGGACATGCTTTTAGTTTGGGGCTGGTTTTGGGGTTGGAGGGGTTTTTAATGATCCTGCCTTACACAGTCTTAAAGAGGAATACATGTACATACACACACACACACAAATACTTATTTTTATATTGTGTTTTCCTAGCATATGTTTTTAGTCTTAAGTAAAATGTATCTTCACTCCTTGCATTGGTCACAGCAGATTTGGAATGCCTGCAATGAACCAGGGTGGGTTTTTGTCCCCTGTTCTAATTGGTTTATTGAAGGTTGAAACAAATCTGAGTATTTAACCAACCTCATTTTGCAAAATGTATAATTGGTACATAAATGCAAATAGCATAAATGCCCTTACTTCGAGGCAAGATAGTTATTCTCAAACCTTAGTTAATGTCCTGTATTTTAGTTTTGTGGAGTTTATTCAGCAAAATTTGTCTCTCAAGTAGTTGATTGCACTTTCATGTAAAATGTTTTGTTTATCTCAGTTTAGTGATACCTTTGTGAGCTTGGTGTGCTTTCTTCATTTGCTGTCTTGTCTTTGCCACTAATTATCCCTCAGTAGCTTTGCCTGCAGGCTAATCAAGTCATCTTCCTGAGCAAGTCAGATACAGTTAACATCACCTTAAAAATAATCAGCCTTATGTCAACTGCCCCTACTGTACCAGGTCCAACACATCCAGCTCTGTGATCTTTTATGAGACATGTAATGTCCATTTATCTGCTATCTGACCTCCAATTATTCCCTGGCTGATTTATGTATGTAATTAGTTTAATTTCCCCATCACTGGACTGGATACAACTACTACCCTCCCTGCATGTAAAGTGCATCCACATTTCTTCTCTCTTTATCCTTGCATTGTAATTTCTAAGCCTGATAAATATTTAATGAAGCTAATCTCTTTGCAGATGTGAATGTAGTTTTAATACTGCACTGTTGTTCAGCCTTGTTTTCTAGTAAGCTTGGCCAGTTTTGTGTCTTCATGAACTGAGATAAGCCAGAATGTGCCCAAGTCAGCTTTTTTTGCCTTTCCCAGATCCCTCCAGTCTGTGCTGGCTGTCACACCTATGGTCAGGGGCTAAAAGTGCTAACTTTTAGCTAACTAAAGCTTTCTATTTACTTGGGGTTTTTGTCTTTTCAGGTTTCAATTCTAGGCTGCCCTGATCCCAAAGTTCATGAGATTGCATACCAGTATGGAAAAAACGTTGGCATAGCTTTTCAGGTACTGTTTTTGTTGAACTAAATGGAATCTAAATTCTAAACTTCTCCAAAGTGCTTTAGAAATCAAAGTGGGCTGTCTTAATCCTTCCTACAATTCTTGTCTTTAACAAGGATTATTCTGTATTTAGCTCTAATACTTGAAAAAGGCATTTTAAATAATCTGTATGTTTATTTTTTAGTTGATAGATGATGTGCTGGATTTTACATCGTGTGCTGACCACCTGGGGAAACCAACAGCAGCAGATCTCAAGCTTGGATTAGCCACAGGCCCTGTCTTATTTGCCTGTCGACAGGTAAGTCAGCAGGAAGTTGTTTGCTCAAAATGAAAAGTGCAAACTGCTCCTCACAGGGCCAGCTGGAACACATCAGATCTCCAGTGTCAGTGATGAGAGGGGCCTGGGCACATGTGACAAATCAGTGGGTTCAGTATCTGATGGATTCTGTGCACACAAAAGAAGTTCTGAGAAACGCCTTCCTGCACAACTCTACTTACTGTTAGGCTCTTGTGGGTATTCAGAGGGTTGTAGCACATTTTGTGTAGGTTATTCCTAAGTAGCTAAGTGCATATTGAGAACAACCTTCTCTGTGTCCTCAGTGTCTCCCCATACTCATCTGGGGGGATTCAAAAGCATATTCTTGAATCATTATTTCAGAACTGTGTCATCAGCAATTGGAGCTGTCCAAAGAACAGTGAGACACTCAGGCAGAGAGGGAGGATGGAGTTGTAAAACTGTTTTTGTGTGTGCTAAAGCCACGTGCAGAAGGAAACAAGGCATGTTGCAAATACCAAAGTTTTGGCAGAGAATGGGTGACATGGATTGTCTTGTGGGTGTTGAATATTCCAATTTTTAAATTAAAACTATTTCTTGCTCATTTGTTTGGGTTGTCTGTCTCTTGACTTTGAACTTCATCTATCTTTTAATTAGCTTTACAAGATTAATTAGTTCATAATAAAGAAATAAAATAAAATCTGTCAGTCCTATTTTAAAATCTTGTTCTTTGTAGACCACTTTTAAATGCTTTTCCTCATTTATATCTTTGATAGATGGGAAGTGTACATTTTTGCATTGAAATATAACTTGCCATCTTATAAAGTTTCCTTCATTATCCAGAAGGCTTCTTTGCTGCAAATGTCCTGCTGTTTTCAAGAAACTGGAAAAACAGCACTGCAGACTTAACTGATATATAAACAAAGCATGAGTGCTAAAAAATGTGGAGCTTCAGCTGACACTGGTGATGCTACTTAAAGATATTTCATGTATTTGTGTCTGAGGAAAAAAAACTCATGAGCCAGGACTTGAAGACAGTACAAAGTGTAATTATTAATTATAGGCTGTCTTTTCAGATTAATATTGCTGCTATCCTTTTATGTAGCTGGTACTCTTCCAGTTGTCTTCCTGATAAACATTCTTTAGTTTTTAATGTGCTCTGGATCTTCAGTGGCAGATGCCTTTTCTTCCTATCCTCTCCCCTCCTTTTGAAATACACCTTTGTGCATTAGAATATATTAAGGAGAAAAAAGTGTTTACCTTGATATAATACCTATTTATTCAGTATTTAAAGTTAAATTAACTATTTATTCAGTATTTAAAGTTAAAGCTCTCTCAGTAAAAAAAAAATCACCCCATTTATTTTTTAAGGAAATCCACTAGTGTATGCTAATTCTAAAGCTCCTCTTAAACAAGTACAGCTGGAGAAGGAAGGTTTATTTTTATTATAAGCATTCCTGTTAAATGCTGATGTGCTGCCCACTAAACAGGGAGAATTGCTAATAACAGCTCTGCCTTACAAGTTTGGGGATTTTCATGTCCTTTAGTGCTTAAATATAAAAAGTGATCCCATATGCATCCTATATAACTGTAAATATGAATAATGTGAAAAGTGATTGCATGAACACTGCAATTAAATTGTCATTACCTGGCAAGGAAGCTAGGATCTAGAAAAAGCCATGACTTTCCTCTTTTAGATGAAGGATGAGTCATCACTGAACTTCTGAATGCATCTCCAGGACTGTGTATGAGTAATAGGAGACTGTCACAGCACTGATGGGTGCTACATGTTTGTACCTGAACGAGGTTGTAAAGCTGCAGTTGCAGGCCCAAAGGTGTGCAAGGAAGGCAGATCATTGTTTACAAGTATATGGCAATAAAATCATCTTTGTTTGACTCTAATCCTCTCAGGCAAGATGAACAAACAGCTCTTTCTTTCCCTTAAAAAGAATTCTTCTGTGGAGTAGCTGCCTTGAGTTGTAGCCATATTTTGTTAAGCACTAGGTTTTTCTGTTTCTAGGCTGTCTTAAGAAAGAGGCTGCATTTTTACCTAAGTGATGTGATTTTTCTCAAAACAACTGACTTGAGTTACCTGCTTGATTTGTAGGGAATTGAGCCTGCAGTGCTAACTACAAATGCTGCATGGCTGAAAACAAAATACCTTATAGATGTCATTTTTCTCTTACTAAAAAAAAAAAAAATCTGTGTATACAAAATACCAGCACAATGGAAAATGTAAGAGAATGTAACAGCCAGTGTTACCATGAGGGGATTTTACAAGTTGAACTGTACAATATTGCAACAACCAACATCCTGGGTTTTCTGTACATCTGGGGGCAGAGGTGCTTCTTCCAGGAGTGCCAACACTGATCATCATCTGTGATAGAGTATCTGATGCAGATTATTCACCAGGCAGTAGCCACATCAGAAGTTACCACACTGGAACATCTGCTTAACATGATAAAATGGCAGGTGCTGACTTCTGCTTTCAACTGGCTACAGCCAGCAGAGCCAGAGCCAGGTTTGTTATAAATGCTTGGGCTCTGCTATATTCCTGTGCAGAGTACAAACCTAAAGCTATACCTGGAGCAGCAGCAGTGACAGGGAAGAGGGCTGCACTTTGGTGGTGTTCTGACCTTAGCATGGCAGGCAGCTACATGGAAAACAACTCAAAAGGAATCACAAACCCCTTCTCCCTTTGTGCTCAGTTTCCAGAAATGAATGCTATGATAATGAGGAGATTCAGTAAGCCAGGAGATGTTGAGCGTGCATGGAAGTATGTGTTGCAGGTAAGACTGATATCAAATATTTCTGCTCTCCCTGCTGCTCAGTCTGAAATTCATTGCCTCTCAAGTAAAATAGCAAGGCTGCATTGGCAAATACCTCCTGAGTAGCATGCAATGTACAATGCCAAGTAAAAACAACTCAGTTCTCCCTGTGGCACAGTGTTTTAGCAGAAATGCTAGGTACTGAAGAACTTTTTTTCTTTTTTTCACTCCAACAGCATAAAATCTGCATAAGTAAAAAGCTCACACATGAACTCAGTTCTCCAGCTGAGGCATAGCTGTATTCAACAGCTGGTATAAATGGCATGTAATTTCCAGTCAGTCTTGTAACTGCTGTGCACACCCTATACCAGTTTTAAATTACTCTGGTCTAAAAAGACTGAGTAATGATCTGTGCCAAATTATTACCTATTTTTCAGAATAGCATGGGGGTTTTGTAAATCTCTAGGGCAGGAGGGGAAGGGATAAACCATTAGTTTGTACTTTGTTATTAATACCAGTGGTGTTTTTTAATGGCTGAGTTGCTGTTTTAGCATGGATGAGTTTTAGTACTGGGACAGTTTGTGGCAGGTAGGTGGGCTTCCCTGATTACAGAATGAATCCTCTTTCCCCATCAGAATAGAATGCATGAGGGTACTTACTGACTGCAGAACCTCCCCCTGTGCCTGGAAAAGGCAGCAGGAGGCTGATCAGGTCCCTGTTCTCTCTCCTCCCTCAGAGTGATGGTGTGCAGCAAACCACCTACCTCGCCCAGCGCTACTGCCACGCGGCCACGCGCGAGATCCGCAAGCTGCGCCCGTCCCCCGAGAGAGAGGCCCTGGTGCACCTGACAGAAATGGTTCTCATGCGGGACAAGTGAGACAGCTCCTTCCACTCCTTCTGGCAGCTACTTTACCAGACTGTGCCTACATTTATTTCAAAAGTTACTTGCTTCCAACACAAGCCACCAAAAATTATTTTTTTAAAAAAACCTTTTTTTTTTTGAAGGTTTACTTTACTTTCTTTTTTTTTAAACTAAAGTTTAAAGTGTTTTACTGAAGGAAGCCATGCAATTCAGAGCAAATCAAACTGTGCTGTACAATTGTTTTAGTGGGGGGTATTGATTGTGGGGGATGGGGAAGATGTTTACATGTTGATGCACAAAGGCCACAATGAGAATAAATATAAATCAGTGTATGAAAACTGAAGCTGTTCCAAATTTCACTTGTTTACACTAATAAAGAGAGCATGCATGTACAGGAGCTGGTAAACTCCTCTGAAGAGAGGGGGTTTGGATATTTCCCTGGCTACTTAACAGAAGCACCTGGAATTGTATGTAGATAGAGATACTGGTTTACTGTAAAAGACTACAAGTGGATTTTGATTAGTTATTCATCAGTGAGTTCAATTCATGGTATTGGTGGCTACCTGCTAGCAGTGAACATGATGCAGAATTAGAGATTGTTACCAAGTGAATGTTTCTGTTCAGAAAATGAAAGGCTCAGTATTTCTAACTCAAACTAAAAATGAATGATTCACCAGCCAGTCAAACCTGCAACTCCATCACTTTCATCACTCATTTATAGAATATATTCTGTAGCACCCTAGAAGCTGCCTTTGAAGTCCCAGACACATTCCTCTCACAGTAATTACCCAGTACTACCACATTCCTTCTCAGGTTATTTCAGCCACAGAATCTGTAGAGCAGGAAAGCACACCCTCTCTGGCTATCTCTGCCTGTGATCCCGTAACAATGGCCAAGTTCCTGTCCCTGAGTTCCCCTGGGTGCTCTCTGGAGGACAGCCTGATCCTGTCCCTCTGCTCCAGAGCCACACAGAGAGTTCCCACACAGAACTCAGCTACAGATGGTGTCCAACTCACTGCATCCAGGTAACTGGATTCAATCAAGAACCCTCACTGAAACTAAGTGTGGGCAGAAAAGAACTTTTAAGAGTATGTATAAGTGTGTAATTCAGGTTTCAGATCTAATTTATTTTCCCTCTGTCAGTGATAAAGTCATGTTACAAACATTTGCTTTTTAGTACATTGCCTGGGATAACACAGCCATGATTTTGCTACGTTAGCATTCCAAAATTCTTTGCCAAGCCAACCAACAAAGTAATGGACAAGAACTTTGGTTCACTTATATATTTATGAATGGAAAAAGTCATAATGTAAATTTACTCATTAAAAAAACTTGGGTACAAATTACACATACATAAGACCACCCATTTTTTGAATCACATGGACACCTTAGACCCAAACAACTCATTGTAATAGACTTTAGTGAGAATACTCCAGGTAAAGATTACAACAATTGGAAGCATCTTGGATTTTTAAAAAAGTATATTTCAATACATAAGTTTGTATGCATGCTTTAAACAAATATAATTCAAGAATGAGCAAAGAGTCTAAACAAAAAGTAATATGACCAGCACTAACATTAAACTTCTCATCCAGGTTTTAATATGTTAGTCTAACGTAGTGTTAGTTACCATGCTGTACTGAAAAATGTAATGGCACAATCTGATCATGGTTCATTAAATATTATACCCTACTTCCCCATAATAATTAGGCTGGTCATAAAATTAACAATGCATAAGTAAATAAGTATAACCAGTTATAGACAGTTGCTTGTTTTACAAATTGCCATCAGGTAAGACATACTGTCCCCAGAGACTCAGAGATGGACATTCAATCATACCATTAAAACAGTATGGCCTGAAGAAATGGGCACAATTTTTTGAAAGTATATTAAGACAATTCTGTTAGCTTTTAGTTACCCCTTGTAAATAATCATGGTATGACTTGAATACAAGACCAAACTTTGAAAAGCAAAGGATTTTAATCAGCGTAGTGCATGATTGATTCAACATAATTCCCAGGAAACAAGCCAGTTACTCGATTGCAAACTCCTTCATACCAGCCGTCATCGTTCTTCTTTATCACATAAATGATTGCACCCTCCATAAACGACAGCTCATCGTCTTTGTCCTTTGTATAGTCATATATAGCAACAACTGTGGAATAAACAGGGACACATTTAGCATTTTATTAATAGCAACAGTATTAAAAAACAATTGTTCTTCAGAAAATACTAAAAGATTAGTTGGCTCTTGTGGGATTTTCAGTAATGAATTCACGTGCTTTTCCTGTTGAACACTAAGCCCAGAAAATGGAATTTCACTTTCCTTGCAGCATTAGCTAGCACTAAGTAGTGCATGTTGACTAACTGAACACTCAGTTAAACTGCTGGCACAGCAGTGCATCAACTGTGACACGGTAAAGTGGGGCTTACGGACACTTAAAAGCTGAGTTAGGGAACACCTGACTTGTGTGGCACTCATTTCTGACCAGATTACCTCAATAGCATGTGGACCTCTTAGTATGAATCTCTTGATTAGAACATAAATATTGTACAAAAATCATTCCACTGAGGCCCCTGTTGGCACATCAGTGTGGCCTTGACACATCACTGCTAAAGCCATTGCACACAAATGAATGGGCATTCCTACAGAGCTTTTGTGTCGTAAGGAGTTCTGGAACTACTTTTCAAGGAGCTGCACTGAGTGCAAGTAGGAAAGTTGCTGAAGAGTGTAGAAGCAACATCTGCTATTTTCAGTACCTGCTTGGTACTACCTTATTCTTACCAACCTCCAACTTGCTGTGTGCCATTAACAAAGCAGAGATTTCCCCAAGGAAAGAATGTTGCCACTACCAGTGCTGGAGTTAAAAACTACTACTGTGAATATACAGACTTCAGACATCACAGCCTTAGCCTTCAAAAGTTAATACGGATTTATGCAATTGATCAGCTTTATGAATTCCAAGAATCCACTATTTTCCACGTACATATAACCTCAGCTATCTGATGTCTTAATGCCGAGCAATGCTGTGCTGTATCAGTTATTTTCATCCCTTGGGTATGTCCTGCACACAGTCCAGCTCAAATGAAGAGGGAACACAGGTGCTCTGCCACAAACACCACAAGTACCTGTCCCCATTTTGTACTCACTGCAGCACCAGCCAGCTCATGAGAAACCTGGCAGCACTGCTGCTGACAAAATGGTCAGTGCTACAACACAGACAACTCCACTGGCAGGAAATCTGCTTGTCCATTATTTATGGGAAGAGATGTTTACTACGTGACTTCATACCTAAGCACAGTTCCGAGTCTGCTGATCTGGAGTCACTGATAAATCTCCAAGGAGACCTCAACATATTTTATAGCTCAAAGTCTAATAATGGACTCTAGTAATCTAGTTTGATGCGATAAATGCTTGGAATTTCTGACCATTTTGCAGAAATCTCTAGATGACTGCCCAGCAATCCTGAGGTAGGTACAGACAGTCCAGCTCATCAAAGATGAAAGCCATCCAATTTTTACATCTGCTTCCCATGAAGAAACTTGCTTTTTCACCCATTCTAGAATACCTGAATGTATTTTATAATTTGTCCAGAGAAGGATTATTAGATGTAGACACAAACTAAGGAAAGCATGGCTTGTGACCCACACTAAGTCCTTCATTCCCTTCAGACACCATTAATCCCCTGATACTGCACTAACACAGCTGCAGTGCTTCTCTTACCTTTCTCTATGTAGTTTTTAGGTGCCCAAGCAGGATCTCCATCTGCATAGGGATCGCTGTACTGCACAACAGCAGCCTCCTCATCCTCATAATCCACAGGTGGTGGGGGTGGAGGAGGAGGAGAGTCATCAAACATCGGCATCTCATCGGGGGGCGGCGGCGGGGGAGGAGTTGGGCTATCAGCAACTAGAAACATTTGGAGATTATTGTTTTCTCTTAAATCAAGAGAGGGTGGAGATGCAAACAAACCTGAGGCTGTACACTGTAAATCAAAGAGCTGGGAGGACAACACACACAGCATGCACTATAATACCATGCACTGATTAGAAACAGAGGCTTTGTATTAACAACTACAGCACACAACTCTATTGGTTATTAGTGGTCCAATCTATGTGTAAATGCTACTAGAGTCAAAGCACATGCTGCGGGGCATAAGCTGAACATCAGCAGAGAGGAAAGCTTCCTGCTCCAATGTCCATGCGCTGCAGCGGGAGCTATGGAGGACTCAGCGGCACCCTCTGAGCCAGGCAGCAACAGCCTCTGACTGGGCCAGCAGCTTGACTGGCTTTTAACAAATCCTTTGTCTGAACAGTCACTTCAATTTTCTTCTGAACACTGCTTCTTTGGATTCCTTCTCTCTCAGAGCTAGCATTAGGGAACAAAAAGATCTGGTGTGGATCATAAATACTAGTCTCTTCCCTTTTTTAAGATTTAACCAGGTAAGAGGAAGCCAAGTAATCCTTCTGCAGAAGAAGAGCTTTGTACAGATCTTTATCTTGCAGGCTAGTTTGTGTGTGTGACATTCAGGAATCAATAAATGAAAAAACAACGACAGGCAGCTGCTGCTCTTAGAGAAAAAGTGCTCAAGGAATTAAATGTATAATCCAAAATGTCAAATCCCTGCCCTGAGATTCTCCAATCAGCACAGTTACAAGTTGCTTTGGGAAAGGGAAAAAGAGAAAGGCATTATGGTACAAATCACTTTTTAAATCAGTTCGTTAAATTAGTTTCCAGTAACGTTGACAGCAGCTGGCAGCAAAATAGAGAGATGGCATACTCAGATGCAGGACATCAAGTCCCTCATGCTATTCCTAGGGAGATGTGGTCCGCTACACATGGCCCTGGTGTAAGCACTATGGAGCCACAAGTTACTGAAAGGAAGCTACTGTTACTGGCATCAGTTTGGTTACATAGCAACACAGACTCATTTTCAAGAGATCTGGGATTCTGCACACTGAAAACATAGGCTGAAAACTGCTGCTCTAGGCAGGGTTTGATGGAACAAGGCAGCAGGCCTCAGAATGTGCAGCTCCAGCACACAAATTTTGAAAAGAAAGCCAAGCAACAGAGAAAGACCAACACTGCACTGAATGAAGGTTTGACTACTGATAGTTACAATGGCACTGGAGATTAGAAATAGGGGTTTTGTTTGCTTAAACACTTTTTACTTTTGGCTGGTCACTACTCTAGTGTGACGTAACCTTTGCTCTTCAGCACCATGCTCCTGATGAGGGACTTGGGCACAGCTCTCCTGTCCTGTGTGGGTCAGGCTGGCTGCACTGGGACAGCTCTGGCACCTGCTGCCAGGGCAAAAGGGGGCAGGAACTGCTGGGACAGGGACTGCCTCAGCCCAGGCATCCAGCCTCTCCCTTCCCTTGCAGGGCCAATTCTTCACCTGCAAGCCCAGCTCCTCTTCAACTTGACCAGCTGAGCTGAACACCCCACAGCTCTCTGCATCAGTAAGACTGGCTGCCACTGTATTTATTAGTGATTCCTCTCCCACACAGAAGCCCATTTGTGTCACTTGGAGACAGACTAACAAAGTCTCTGGTGGAGTGAATGCTACGTCCTGCCCATTACTGAATAGCACTCACAGACAG